GCCCCGCACACTCACCTCCCTCACACTCACCACCCCGGCCCTGGTCCGGGACCGCCCTGCACACTCACCACCCTGGCCCTGGTCCCGGACTGCCCCGCACACTCAGTGCCTGGCCTCACCGGGCCCCGGGGTCCACAGGGGCCAGGGATGTGACATTCAAACATCAGCTTGGGACCCAGAACCCTGACATAAACTGAAGGTGAGCTCAGTGGACAGATTGACAGACAGTCAGGAACCAGGTGTGTAGTGTGTTTCCAGCGAGCTGTGTACAGCTTACGAACCTGAGACCTCAGAAATGGGCCCACCCAGGCGGGTGCTCGATTATCAGACTTGGTTGGCTTTCTGGAAGGAAAGAAAGAGACTAAAATTTAGGGATTCTTAACCTTTTTTTGATGCCACGGCAGTCTCGTGAAGCCCATGGACCCCCTTCTCAGAGTAATGCTCGAGGTGCATAAAATAAAACACCAAGGATTACAAAGCAAACTATGCTTATAGAAATTAAAAACAAACATTGATAACATATTGTTTCTTTACTAATACATTAAGATCTAGCACCAAGTGTAATAACAACTAGATTTCAAAAAGATGGTAAGAGATATTTTGAGATAACCATAGCATCAGAAATGTTATATGAAAACACCTGTAACTTCTATTAGGTCAAAGATGCAGGGTCTTCTAATATTATCGTGGTGTTGCCAATATTCATAATGGGGAAATACTAAATTTTCCTTAGAGGTTAGTGAAAATGTAGGTGTAATCTTTTTTTTCCCATCCACGTTTTGGGATGCCTCACAACCCTGCAGTTTTATCTGTGGACCCCAAGCTAATAATTCCTCAATTTAGTAATCTTTTGGGATTAACAATGATAGATACCACTTACTGAGGGCTTACTATTTGCCTGTTGGATTTACACCTAATATTATTAATCTTCGTAGCCATTCTGTGATTTAGGTTTTTTTTTCTTTTACAAATAGTTTATTGTCAAGTTGGTTTCTATATAACACCCAGTGCTCATCCCCACAAGTGCCCCTCTCCGTGCCCACCCCCCTGCCCCCACATCCATCAGTCCTCGGTTTTTGTTGTGATTTAGTTATTTAAGTCTATTGAAAAGATGCAGAAATGGAGGCTTTCATAGGTTAAATAATTTGCCTTAAAAAGTCAAGTTCTTAACTCTCAGCAATCTTACTACCATTTTGGTCTTCTAATCTTGATGTAAATGAATAATACTTTTAAAATTTGAACTTAGGTACGAGGTTTTAGAACTGGACCCAAAACAAGGACAGTCAGGCGTTTTTATTACATTGTTTCTCAGAAGGAGACCAGGGTGGTCTAGTGAAGAATAAAAAACAAAGATACATAGAGAAGTTAAACAAACCAACAAACCAACAAACCAAAACAAATAACACAGTATCTTAGGGATTTCATGATCGCTACCCCCTGGGAGAACTCCTTTCTACTTCCTCGTGTTGTATCAGAAACCCCAGGACCTCGGAAATCTTTAACAAAGGCCAATGCCATAGGTTAGATACAATTGTGATTGTTCTCTTTAAAAACTCTTCTGATTCTCTGGCCATTGGTAGCTCTGTTTTTAGGCTTACGCTGTCCTGCGCTTGTAGTGTGGCTGGTTCAGATGGTCTAAGTATACATTGGCCTTTCAAAGATTTAAATTGTTTGTTTCATTTGTTTCTTTTTGCTTTTTAAAATGTGGCTCCTAGAAAATTTAAAACTGCACGTGGGTCCTCACTGTTTCCCCTAGACAGGGCTGGTTTAGTCTCGAAGGGTTGACCCGTGTGTAAAGTTACCATAAAAGGAATAAACTGAAGCATTTAATCTAGTCGTTTTAGTTCTAATAGGTACTAGCCTAGTTGAACGTGATTCTATCCTGCCTTATTTCAGAAAGGAGCATACATCACTTGCAGGGAAGAGCAATATTGACTAAAGGAATCGGGGAAGAATAGAAAAAAGGTAGAAGAGTTGAAAACTAAAAGCCCCAAAGCTAAGGTAGACCCCAGGTCTGGATCTTAGCTTCCTAACGGTTAAGACAAAGGGGAAATCAGTGAGAGAGTCTGTATGTGTACAGGGTGAAAACATACCAGTTGTGCAGGAGGAATGACTTTGCCCGGCCCTGAGCCACAGTGGAGGTTTTACTTGGGACTCATAAAGGGGACACTGTGATGTAGGGCACACCATCCCCAGCAGTTTGCCTGCCATGGAGACAGCGGTGGGTTTTATGCCGCTGGGTTTTTATATCTGCTAGTTATGAAGATGTGCTCTCTGGTTAGAACCTTGGGTCTTCCTCCATCCTCCGTGGCGGGCGAGTGGTGATGCACCACTCAGATTCCCTGCCTCGGCAAGCGTAATTCACCAACAGGCCCAGCCACCGTGCTCTGAATTCTGCCTTGCATCCCGCTGAGGCCACACTTCCCACCCGCCTCTCCCAGCCGATGAGTGTATGCAGCAAGGACCCCGGTGCAGGCCCTTCTGCAGAGGGGGTACTCAACTGATGGGCAGCTTTCCTCATGGACTCTCCATGGGCCTGGTTGAACTTTCCTAGCCTTGGGCTGAGGTCTGAGACTCTTCTTGTTGAACCGCCCCTCCCTCTCTCCTTCACTGGGTCATCCCCTCTGGCTCCTTCCTCTTTCTCCCACAGGTGTTGCCCCCAGTAAATCCTGCACATGAAAACCCATCCCAGTGCCTACCTCTCATAGGACCCGCCCTGATACACCTAACCCCATGCTGGGTGGGCCACCAGGTTCACCTCCCACTAAGCTCAGAGGCAACAAGAAAGGACATGAGTTTGAGTCCATCTTTGTGCATTTCCAGCATCTGCTGGCAGAGTTCCAGCTTGCTTGAATCTTCTCTGCTTTCCCTTACCTCCCCACTGGACTGCAGAGATACAGTCCTGAAGAAGCTCCTTAAAGATCCTTCGTAATTACATAAGCCGATCATTCCCTGTTACAGAATCCTTTCTGTGTATTTGTATGTGTTCAATGAGAGAAGTAGCACCAGCAGGAGACTTATACGGGTGCTATTCCCAGCCCCGTGTGGGCATTGCATGCTCTTCCCCTAACCTTTTGGGAGGTTTCTTCCTAAGCTCCACGTGGTTTCCTTCTGTTCATGTGCTGATCTGTACTCTGCTACGTACTGGAGGAGGGCCCAAGAACTCTTTGGAGTTCCCCTTTCCCGGAAGCTCTTTCCAGGGCTCTGTCTGTGAACCTGAGCTGCTGGACTCTACCCTTTTCTACTTAACTTAGGGAGTCTGCTGGGCTCTGCTTGTTTCCTTCAAAATTTTTGAGACAGTGAGATGGATCAGCCATGGAGCTCATCTGGTTTGTTTTTCATCTTTTAGGGATCGCTAGCCTTTGACATAGAGTTTCTTGAAAATCAGTTGTGGCTCATATTGTGTCCTTTGTTTTGGTTGTTTTAGGTGGAGAGTAAATTCAGTAGATTCGTCTTGGTTGACATAAGTCCAGCACATGCATTTGGAATAAATGAACGAGTTTCCCCTTGGCATCCATCCTGAGATTAAGGTGTGTGCGATGAAGGTGTCTGACACTCAGATGGCGCAGTGACCTTGCCACATGGATGTGCTACAGTGGTGTAAGCGTATGTGTGTGCAAACTTTTTATCCACCGATGGTACAAATTTCTTACAGCATTAAAAACTGGCCCTTCAGAAGACTTTTAGAAATGTGTATTTCTGTAAGTGCTGTTTTATAGCAGGGAAACTTTGGGTTGCCTTATGGCAGAGAAATGAATCAGCCTCTAAATTATGTGAGCTAAATTTCTGTAATACTAGTCTACCCATCTACCCACTTTCATACTTGAGACCTTGCAAATTTTCTTGGTTATTTCCAAGTACTGTGTAGGGAGTTAGATATACTGTGAGTATTTGGTAGATGTGAGTTGACCTACTTTATGACTAAAAAGAGAAAACAAGGGTGATTGGGTGGCTCAGTTGGTTAAGCATCCAACTTTGTCTCAGGTCATGATCTCGCGGTCTATGAGTTCAAGCCTGGCAGTGGGCTCTGCTGACAGCTCAGAGCCTGGAGGCTGCTTCAGAGTCTGTGTCTTTTCTCTCTGTCTCTCCCCAGCTCATGCTCTGTCTCTCTCAAAAATAAAAATAAAACATTTAAAAGATTAAATAAAACTTTAAAAAGAGAGAGAAAACACATTCTGAACTGAGGCATGCACTAAATGAACAAAATTGCTAGTAATATTTTGTATATCCCATTGTGGGCCAGGAGATGTGCTAAGAACTTTACATTATTTTTTTACTCTTCTTAATAATTTTGTGAGGTGAGTTTTATTATCCTATTTTACAGGTGAGGCAAATGAGTCTCAAGAAGTAGATTACTTCCACACACACACCAAAAAAATAAATAAATAAAAGAAGAAGAAGAAGAAGGTTATTCTTTCCTCAGGAATCTGTAGCCAGTAAATGGCATAGTCAGGATTTGAACCCAGGTCTGTCTGCCTCCAAATTCCATGTTCTTTATCCTATATTTTTACTCCTTAATGGAGGTTAAGCATACAGTTTGAGGCATAGTATGTTTATTAGTATTTTTCTAGGGAAAGAATAAGCAAATCTGGCTAATTGAAAACATGCAAAACATGGACCATGGAAGTATAGTTTCAGTGGTTGCTGATAAATGGTCTAAAATCACTTATGAATGTAGAAGTCACTAAAGCTTGTATAAAGTACGCACTAGTGCTAATTTTTCATAATGCCAGGGTTTTCATGATAACAAAGTAGATATAAAACCACAGTGTTCTTATTCACTGGAAATAAAAAAGTGATTGGATCTCCTCTTCAGCATAACCAAGCTAATATCTCTCAGCTCTGTAACCCTATCCAAGTTCTGAAAGAGTCCTGAGACTGCGCCCTCCGTCAAGAGTCAAGTCCATCGGCTAGGTGATAGCATCAGTCAGCCTACTGAATGCTTCCAATGTGCTTAGCACCCTGCTAGGTGCTGTGGCAAGATGCATATATTTGAATCATTTAGGGAGTAATTCAGTATGTGCTGGAGGTCAAAGGTTGTAAATAACAGGCCCACTGGTTATTTTTTAGAACGTGAATTAGTATAATCACTAAAATTTTATAAAATTTAGATTTATTCTCTTAAGGAAAATATATGAATTTCTAGCTTATCTTTAAAAAATTTGGGACAGTTCTTGAATTTATCACAATGCCTATTATTTCTTTTTAAAATGTTTACTTATTTATTTTGAGAGGGAGAGAGCATGAGCAAGGGAGGGGCCGAGAGAGAGAGAGAGGGAGAGAGAATCCCAAGCAGGCTCCACGCTGTCAGTACAGAGCCCGACGCAAGGCTCGATCTTACAACCATGAGAGATCTTTAACCAGGAGAGATACTCATCCACTGAGCCATTCAGGTGCCCCGACAATTGAGATTTCTCTCTTCACTTAAGAAAAAAAATCTACATTTACAGCTTCTCTTAAAAAAATAAAAATAAAAATAAAGTCAAGGCTGATCTGTAGATACTTTACCTCTGGTGGCCCAGGCAGTGGGACGATGTTAATGGAATTATGATTTAAAAAAAACAACCAGTGGATTAAGAAAATATTAAAAAGAGGTGGAGCCAAATGTGATGTGGATTATTCCACCTTAGGGGACATTTTGGGAAGGGTTAGTGCCAAGTCAAAGGGTGGGGTCATGAAGGAAAGAACTTGTGTTTTGTATTAAAAAGTTAAGCTGAACCTGTGGCTTGAGAGAGCGTCTGCTGGTACAGAAGCTTTGGCTCCTCTCCTGGTGGGTTCGTCCAGCACATAACATCAGCAGTTGCCATTCTGTGCTGTTTCGCTCTTCTGGGCGCTGGGGTCTGTGGCAGGGATTGTGGGTTCCTGCCTACACTGTTCTCCCCTTCCTTCTCAGCAAAACAGAGCTCCGTCTTCATTCTGGGCTGCAGTGTGCCCCACTGAAAGAATATACTCCAGTTGGCCTTGCTGGATGTGGCCCATGCAGTATAGGCACACATGTTGAGTGGGCTCTCTACGAATTCACTTAAAGGAGGCTGACTAGTTCAGAGAAGTGCCCAGTTTGCCCTTCTCTCTCCTTCCTTCCTGCTGCCTAGAATGCACACTCGATGTTGGACGTGCACCCGCCCCTTTGGGGGGCCCTCACCCTGCGGTTTGCTGCAGCTGCGGTGGCTCAGAGTGACAGAGGGAGACTGGGGCCACGGTCTGCCTGGCTCTGGTCTTGCTACGTGACCAAGGAGCCCCACGTGTTTAAGCCTCTGCTATGTTGGGTTTCCTGTTAAATGAAGCGGGACCTAGCCTGAAGAGGGCTGCTGCCCGTATGGGGACCGCAGGGCCCAGGGAGGCTGGCCTGCGCTTTCCCAGCGGCCCGTGTGGTGGTGTCTGCGGCACGGATTACGCCCTCTATGCCGACCGTGACCCAGGAGAAGCTGGACCGCCCGCCGTGGGTTTTAGGAGGGCGTGCTAGAAACTGATGGTACCGTGCGTTGCGTCTCCTGACATACAGAGGCCACATGGCAGGACAGATGTCCATCAACTGTCTGGGGCTCGTCACATCTTTGTCATAAACAACTATGACAGATGGCATCCTGTGGGAGTTTTAGAGGGAAGGGTTGGTGAAAAGTAGCCTTGTTTATTGTCTGCCCTGTAAACAACGCACCTGGACTCCCCGTGAAACTGGAGGCCGAGTCCCTAAAGCTCAAGTTTAGAAAGTCTTAAATAAACCTTCTTCAGCTTTGTAGAACTTGGCTGTATCTGTTGGAGGGTTGACCTCCAGCTCATGTTAATTATTAAAATACTTCCATGCCGGCGGGCAGAGGGTCACTGCCCAGCCCCCCCAGCCCTGGCCCTGCCTTTCGACCTCTTCGACCATTGCATGAACGAGCGTTGAAAACAGCAAAACCCTTCCTGGACTTGGTCACCACCCACTTTTAAAATTAGGCTCTTGAGCTCACAGTGTTCATTTTGCAACGTGTTCACTGCTGCCCGATTTCTGTCAGTAGCTCGACTCAAACACTGTGCAGGGTATTGTTCTAGATGTTCCAGAGTCCAACGCTGGATCACGTCAGGTCAGCAGACCTCAGCAGAGGAACGAGATGGGGATACTGCTGCAGTTTGTTCCTGCCCCGCCCACCCTCCGCAGACCTGGTCTTGCCCAGCTGTGTTCCGGCCGATGTCATCAGCCTGTGCTGAGAGACGGGGATGGGGACGGCACAAATGACACGCATTGTCATCCGTCCTACAGAATGTTGTCAAGCTGTGTTTCTTTATATCACAGCGTCTATTTATAAGAATCCTCAGCGACTTGCCCAACTGGTTTTAGAAGCAGAACAGCTGTATTACTCCTAGAAAACTGTTTTTTTTTCCATCTTATAAACCTGTCTATAAGTGTCCAATTTTCCCTTCTCCCTGTCTCTGTAAATATACTTACAACCTTTCTGAAATGTAGCAGAGAAGAAACGAAGGGAGGAAGGAAGGGAGAAAACACTCAAAGTTATGGAAAATCAAAGTCGATCAAAGGAACCCCAATACACAGGCATTTTGTGTTTTTTCCTCAGTGGAATTTCAACATTAACTTATCACAGATTTATACTGAGTAACAACTATAAACTTGCTTTTCAAAGCTGTGAAGTACAAATAGTAAGTTCCTAGAAGAGGGTGTTCTTTCTAAGTGCAGTGTCTGTGGGCTTCTAAGCTCTTCTTCCCGCCGAGGTTTTACAAATCACCACTTCAGCCAGCTAGGGCTTTGTAGAATGATGTTTGGACACTTTGCTTTCATTCAAAGGTAGACACAGTAACAGTGGCTTTGTCGGCTTTGTCCTGATCTGCATTTTGTCAAACAGGGAGAGTCTGTAGTTCATAATTTCCATAAACAAGCGCTGTGTCTTCTGCGATTACGGTTCCCTTTTTTTCCTTTGGTTAATAAACGGATTCAAGTCCAATCCCATGTTACTCTGAGCCATCCTGCGCCCTACCTATGATTTCCAAGGATTCTCTGGAGGTCTGCATTCTCCCGTCCTCTCCTACTTTCACTTCTTCCTCGGGTTGAATTCTTTGCCCCAGAGATAATCACCCCTCCTCTTCGCTTACTCCCCTCAACACTGCTCACATGGGGTTATAGTGTGTAGCGCTTTTATGGAAAAATTGGAGAGAAGCCAAGACTACAGCGTTGCACAGGCTGGGAATCAACGTCCAAGTTCAGGGTTAGGCACCACTGTCTCCAGGGGCCACTTCCACTGCCGTGTCGCTCCTCCTCTCCCTGTGCTCTGGGTGTGGGAACCACTCATGGGGGGGGTGGGGAGTGAACATTTTGTGGTACCTTACCCGGCAGAGCAGTTTAACTGCCTCCCTCGATGCCCGGCACACCTGGCGTAGAGGCCTTTCTACCCCAGAGTCCTGGGACATAGTGGCGACAGTGGCAAAGAGCGGCGATGCTGTCTGTTACATTTTGCTTTAAGTTCTGGAAAAGCAAATTCTTGGCCAGCACTCTTTCCACCACCCTGGACCCATGGATTTGGGGACCTCATGGTTTGTGGAGAGGAATCTGGAAACTATAGTATAATAGATACTCTTGTCAGTTATTTTTGGGCTGTTTATAGTAGAGTTTGCTGATCAAAAAAGTCCATTAAGACCTACGGCAGCAATAGACGTACCATGTTTTGTATTTTACTAAAATATATACT